GGAAGGAATCAGTAGTAAAGTATACCACATTCAGACTATCTGATGACAAACAATAATAACGATGATATGTAGGTGTGTTTTCCATGTATGGGATGCAAAGAAACCTGAGTTAGTAACTTGAGGTTTAGGGCTATAGAGCATATCTGTTTTTCCTCCAAACTCTTGGATTTATCATCTTACTTGTACTTATCTAGCTTAATGTTTCTCCTTTCATGTTTTCAGGGCTGTGGGAAAGACCTGTCTGTTGATCAGTTACACGACAAATGCCTTCCCTGGAGAATACATCCCCACTGTGTGAGTACTGTGGGAGAAAACTTAGGTTTCAGGAGAGAAGATAAATGCAAAAGCACAGTGATTTGAACTGTTCCCATATTAGGATTAGGAGATGCTGGGTATTAGAAGAATTTGATACACCAAGGGGTCCTTCAAGCGTGACCAAGTTCTAAACAGAGAAATAGTACACTCAATCATGCATGAAGAGTTTTAGTGTGGGACTTAACTAAGCATGTACATCCACCAAGAAGTCAAGATTAGCCACTATTCCGTAGTGTAGCTTCACAAATGCATAAAGTGTCCTCGGGTAATCACTGCAGAAGATGAGGTGTTTGAGTATTTTACATTATTTTGTGTATGAGCATATACAGTGTGGAAATATGATGTGACATAGCTCATGCTGGCAAAAGTAATTCCCAGGGTTGCCCTCAAACATAAGTTTCACAAAATAAATGTTTACAAGTTCCATTCTATTTTCTTGCTTTAGCTGCTTTCATTGCTAGAAGGCAGAGAGAAAAGGATCTTTTCAAGGCGTATGTCCATGTACTGTATATGTTGTTATATAACCTATTGGTATGTAATATACAGTTTAACTAATGTTGAGCACATTGTCACTTTAAGACACTGTTTTTCTGCAGTTAGTTGAAAGTTGTCTTTTCACAGAGAATTTAATGTATCACTGTATTACACAGCACTATCTAATCCTGTGGCCAAGTTGCTTTTAAAATTTACCAGAGGTCCAACATTAAGTTTTCTGCTCACTGGTTCTGGTTTTCTATTTGTTCCACAGCGGGACTGCTGTTAATGGTCAATTACTGTCTCTTAAGGGTGTTTTTTTTAAGCCCATATAGTGCTAGCTTACTATAAAAAACAAAAAGAACAGAAGTACAAAAGGTATTCAGAAAACAGCATCTTGTAAGCAGCTTACATAATACGGAAGAGAAAACCATGTTTTAACTAGACCTCAATCTTAGTTGCTTATTGTTTGTACATAGAAATTGTGCTGGGAGTTTAATTAGCAAAAGTAATAAAAGAGATATTTATTAAAGTAGAACATAGAGACTTTTACTAATTGAGAAAAGAGAATTTGAGCTATCTTGAGAATGTATTCATCTGACTAAACTACTGCTGACAAGACCTTTTGCCCTAGGTTTGATAACTATTCTGCCAATGTCATGGTAGATGGAAAGCCCGTAAATCTGGGCCTTTGGGACACAGCAGGACAAGAAGACTATGACCGGCTGCGACCTCTTTCCTATCCCCAGACGGTAAGTAAGGGGCTGCCACAAGGAAAAGGGGGTCAGCCTATTCTCCAAAGCACCTTAGGGCAGGATAAGAAGCAATGGATGGAAATTAACCAAGGAGAGAAGCAACTGAGAACTAAGGAGAAATTTCCTGGCAATTAGGACCAATTAATCAGTGGAACGACTTGCCTCTAGAAAATGTGGGTGCTCCAGCACTGGAGTTTTTTAAGAAGAGATTGGACAACCATTTTTTTTGAAATGGTATAGGGTTTCCTTCTTCAGCAGGGGGTTGGACTAGAAGACCTCCAAGGTCCCTTCCAACCCTGTTACTCTATTCAGTGCTGTAGTGGAGTTTAGGTCCCAATAGGCCCTATTTCTGCAAACTGCACTAAACCCATTCCATATTTCATAAGAACCGGACATGAGTAATATCAGTTCCAGCCAATTAACTATCAAGATGACCTGATATGTCAGTTTTATAAAACCTTGGATTTAGAGTTTCTATGAACTGATGTTGGGTGGGTGGGAAATCCAAGATTTGACGTGACTTGAAAGGAAAAGTTTGCAACCTTGACTATTTCACGTGAACACTGTTGCTCATATTGTTACAGGATGTTTTTCTCATCTGCTTCTCACTGGTGAGCCCCGCATCCTTTGAAAATGTCCGAGCCAAGGTAATATTCTTTCACATTGAACATTATTTTCCGAAGGAGGGGACAGTTGCTTACATTCTTGCTATTGATTAATAAAGGATATTTTACTCTTAGTTGATGGCAACAAAGGATGCCTCCAATAGAAATGTAATACAAAGGAATTTGATATGGAGCACGATCCATCCTCCCCCTTTCTAAGGATAATCAGGTTTTGGTCAGCTAAAACGCAAGAAACAATTATTTGATCCTGAAACCATTATCTGCCACTCCGTCTATTTCTTACATTAGTTTATCAGATTGACGATTCTGTCTTACTTGCAGTGGTACCCAGAAGTTCGACATCATTGCCCTAACACACCAATCATTTTGGTGGGCACCAAACTGGATCTGAGAGATGACAAGGACACCATAGAACGGCTACGCGATAAGAAATTGGCTCCCATTACCTATCCCCAAGGTCTGGCCATGGCCAGGGAAATTGGTGAGTCTTAGAAACCGAGCTGAGAGCAGGAGTGAGCGATGCGGCCCCCTTTTTTTGCAGCTTCCAGAGCTCCCTCCCTGTTAAATATTGATGGCACGTTTGCTGAAAAGTGGCAGCTGAATTCCCATTCTGTTGCGTTAGAAAACACAATTGTAGTTCAGTCGCCCCAACTTAAAACTGTGAAGAATCTCTTATCACTCTTTTCCTAAACAGGGAAAGATGTTATCCTCCATTTTTCTTTCTGTTAGATCAGAGGTCCTCAACTTTTTGGGCACCAGCAACCAGTTCCGTGGAGAGAGGTTTTTCCACGGACCGAAGGGTGTGTGTGGTTTTGTGTGCTGCCTGCATCTCATGGATGGGCTTTGCTTGTTTGTGCGGCCTGGTTGCTGTCATGCCGCGGCCCAGTACTGCTCCACAGACTGGGGGTTGGGGACCCCTGTGTTAGATTAAGTAGCATCTTTTCTTTTAAAAATGAATCGTGGCGATATTGATCAAAAGGAGAGAGGAGAGGAGATTCATTATGAAAACTGGTGCAAGCTTTCAAGATTCAATCATAAGTGGAAGGAGAAAAGGGGGTGAGGAAAACATTGGAATCATGAAGTGATGTTCAGAACAGTCTCTTTCCAAATATAGGACATCCTGAGAAATTCCAAATTCATCTCTGATTTCAGGCCACAATGATTCAGCAATTCTAGAGGGGATCTGGCAGTTTTTAGGGAGTAAACCGCAAACCATTTCCTATTCTGAAAGAGAGAGTTCCAGAAAACTGCCAGATCACCTCCCAGCACAGCTGGAGCACTACGGTCTAGAGCAGTGGTGGCGAACCTATGGCACGGGTGCAAGAGGCGGCACTCAGAGCCCTCTCTGTGGGCACACGCGCCGTCGCTCCAGTCCTAGGCCTTCAGCTGGGTTTTATAAAACCTTTTCACTTTAGGCCTACACTGCCGTGTGCAAAAAAAAAAAAAAAAAAAGGTTCAATCAGTCAATTTCAACTTCTCGCAGGAAAAAAAAAGATCTTGCAAAGTTGGAATTGATTGATTGAACTTTTTAGTCCCACCCAGTCTGCCATTACCACTGCAGCCACGCCCACCCAATTGGCCACACCCAGCCAATGGGCCACACCCACCCGGCACTCGACGATGCATAAGTGGGTTTTGGGTTGCAGTTTGGGCACTCAGTCTCTAAAAGGTTCGCCATCACTGGTCTGGAGAGAGAATAGAAGGTTTAAGGGATCCCTGCTGTTTTCCTTGTCAGACCTTTTTAAAAATGAAATAATAAAAAGCTCCATACTCTGATGAAGTCTTCAGAAAGAAAGAAGCATAGTTCCCCACTCATTTATGTCCTCTCCCCTACAGGTTCAGTGAAGTACCTAGAATGCTCTGCCCTTACCCAGAGAGGCCTCAAGACTGTCTTTGATGAAGCCATCCGTGCTGTGCTCTGTCCTCCACCTGTGAAGAAGCCTGGCAAGAAATGCACTGTGTTCTAGAGCATTCCTGGGTTCCACGTGTTATGGATGACTCCTCTAGGGTCTGAGGAGGAAGAGTTTGTCGGGTGCTCCCACAAGGGGATGGCGGGGTCCCTCATCATGTGTGAAGTCAGTGTTTTTTAAATGTCTCTTTAATTTAACGTGTTGATGTAAAAGGGCCGCATGAAAAAAAAAAAAAAAAGAGGAGCTCGGTGCTATCCCACCTCCAGGGTGGAGCCATGCAACAAACACTCTCTCCATGGCTCTCTGCTAGGACATAATTCATGAATGAAAGGAACAGCCCTTTCTTACTACTTTTCTTGGTGCTAGAGCATTGTGGTGGGAATATATAACGAACCCCAGGTGCGGCAGGAAAGACAAATGAGGCACAGGTTGAAGAACAAGCCATTTGTGCTTTACGAAGTGGGACGCCAGCTAAGCCAATGGTCAGGACCACTCTTGTGCTATTCAAAGCTACCATTGCCTTTCAGGCCATTAGCCTGTCGGCTGCTCCTGAGTGGTCTGACTAATCATCAAACTCCCCTAAAGTTGGGGAAGAGGGAGGTCTCTTTACCTTGTCCAGCCTCTGCAGAAGAGGGCCACCTGGAAGGAGCCTTTCCATAAGACGTGTGAAAGATGTCAAGCGGCTCCTTCCTTTTGACAGGAATGATGGGCTGGGGGTTGGGTTAGAGAGAGCTTTGAGGGATTTGGATGGAGATGGGTCCAGTTTTTAATCATCGTGTAGTGATGAGCTGAACACCTCTTATTTTATACAATAAACATTTATCCATAAGTAAGTAGTGTTTTAGAGTCATCAGCTGAAGGAAGAACATTTCATAATCCCTCTTCCTATTAACTGCATTAAAGAAGATAAATACTTTCTACTACTTTTATGATTTATTGGTATATCATATTGTTCCATTTCATGATCTTCAGTATTTTGAAAAAGACTATAAACCGGATAAATCATGAAGAATTTGGGCTATTCATCCCAAACAAATTTACCCAACAAGGTATTCTAGCTGGAGAGGAATCCTCCATCAATGGGTAATGTGGCACCAGTGGTCATGTTGCTTTGGTCGCTCAATAAGAACAGGATACCGTTTACCACCTCATCCACTTCTGTAAAAATAGATACATGAAGGATGGCTGAAAGCGATCGTGAAGGCAATCAAATCAATAGAATTATTTAAGTCTTTCACAGACAGGAAGGAATTTCCTATTCCTAAAACCAAACGATACTACCTACTCTTACCTTATCCAGTCAGAAATACCCAACCCTGGTGGCTTTTTCTAGCAATTAAATTCATAAATTCCTTTTCACAGGAACAGATGAAAATTTTTGTTGTTGTTAAATTGTCTGTAGTTGGTGTGATGCTGATAACAGAGAGAATTGAGATGATAAGGTACCAGAGATAAATCTCCAATTGGAAAAAACAATCACCCTTTTCCAAGGAAAACACTTCATTAACTTTATCTAGGTAAAATGGCTTAGGGCTTGCTATGTAAGGAACAGGGAAAGCTCTTCTCCAGAAATGTAATCTATTTCAGTTTCACTATCAGAGGTAGAACAATTGGGAGACTATAGGCCTTGATCAGAAGCTTGTACGTTCCAGATGAACAGGCTCTTTAAAGCAGCCACAGCACTGGTGCATGTTTCTCAGTTATTGCTAACCACTTTGCCTCTGGAATGTTTTTAGGTCTACAGAGACCCTCTCTTGTCCTCTGACACAGGATGTTTGTGTTCCAAATTACCTGCAAATTTTCCCAACGGAATGCGGCTAAGCATAGGTCCAGATTTCTGGGGATCACTCCAATTTTGGCGTCCCATGTTTGTCATGACAACTGTGGGGTTCACACAATTTACCCGAATCTTGGAAAGTGAAGAAAGAATGCATGATTAGACTAAACACCCAGCAGACACCTTCTCTGTCTTTAAGGAAGGTGTGGTCTAGAACTGCTGATGGTCTAGAATTCTCATTAACATTGATAATCTAGAATTATCATCATCCCTCATCATGCCATGTTGGCCAAGGCCAAATGGGAGTTGGAATTCAGCAACATTTGAAGGGTCACACATTATTCATCCCAGCTTTTTGAAGTTACTCTTAAGGAATTGGTTTTTCACTATGAAAACAGCTAACATTTTAATCAACTGGCTCTCTTGGTGAAATATATCACTCAGTCGTACTGAACCTTTCTTCAAAGGAAGGCTCGCAGTTTTGCAGGTTTGGTTTATATTAAGCTCTACAGAGTCACCTAATGACAAAATGTTTTATTTTTGTTTGCTGTTTGCTTGCCCTTATCTTGCTCTTCAGACAGAGGTGCTTACCTTATGGGTGCCTAATTCTAGAGCCATTGACTTTGTCAGCATATCCAAGGCACTCTTGGTTGCACCTGCAGGCAAACAGAAAAAAATTAAGTGTATTAAAAGATCCCATTTCTTCGTCTTCTCCTTGCTTTTGCCTTACTTTCCAGCAGTGATACTCACAATAGACAGTGTGATTTAACATAGCCCGTTGAGAAACCTGGCTTGAAACATTGACAATAACTCCAGGTGCTCCTCTGGCAATCAGTTTCTGGGCAAAAATCTATGACAACACAGAATTTATCAGACATTTATCATTTGCATTTTAATGATATCCAGGGCATCGGTGTTAAATCTGAAGAGGGTTACCAAAGCAGTGAGGTGGAGATTTCTTTCTGAGTAAATGCACACAGGATGGAACCACAAATCCACTTTCCTTAAGACCATAATAATATTCCATTTGTTAATGGAAGTTTTTGACTAGCTGCTTCTACAGTCCTACATGGTCCTTCCAATATCATGCAGATTTCTCACCTGGGAGACTTGCAGCACAGCCCGAAGATTGACATTGAAAGATCTATATGAAAGGAAAGTCAGATTAAATACACCAAGAAAAGCCAATTGCAACAAAGTGGGAAATTGCTAGAAGCCCAAAGTGCAGGGATTGCATACTAAACCCCAAGTCGTCTTCCCTATCCCATCTCTAGTGTCAGGAAACAAAAGTTGCTAAATCAGACAAAAAAGGTTGCTAAATTGGGTTGCTAAAACAAACGAGTCTGCACTTTTTTCATCGAGGACAAGGAAAACATTTGCAAACTAAAGCAAATTAACATCTGAAGCTCGGTTTTTATTCCAGAAGAGCATTTTATTATATTTACCGTTCAGAGTGGAATGGAAAAGACCGCTAACGTTGAAAATCAGAACCTACACCAGGGGTTTCTAAAACCAAATTTTCATATCTCCCTTTATTGTGGGTCCTATTTTCTTTAAATTTATATATATATATATATATATATATATATATATATGTCTTACGTGTTTTTTATGATGCACCCGGTCGGCCCAAATATGGGAAGAAGAATCTCAGAAGGGTGTAGTTGCCTGATGAGAGCTAAGGAGCTCGAAATAGCTATACCAGCTTCCCTTTAACTCTGTGTTAGCAATCCAAATTTAACACACACACACACACACACACTCTTTGGCCTGGATTATTTCTTTGTTTGTTTGCTTGCCATCCCCTCGCCTCCATTACCTGTCAAAGGCCTCCTTAGTCACCTCTAGGAATGGCTGCAAAACTGCCACAGCAGCATTATTCACTAACAAATCAATATCTTCTACTGTGCTTAATGCAGCCTCTGTAGCTTCCCAGTCTGCGAGATCAACGCACAATGTCTGGATGCCTGGGCACTGAGGACAGAAGTAACATTAAGAAAGACGGGAATTGAAGCTGTTTGCAAAGTAGGGGATTTAGGACCGCTAGTTTTCAAGTGAATTTTCTCCCAAAGTATACAAAATAAACTTTACCAGGACAGAATACTGATTTCAAACAAAGAGCCATGGATATGTAGTTCATTAAATTTGAACTGCAAGGACATTTTCACACAATGTTCCAATTTTTTTTTTTTGATACTCAAGAGTATTTTGGAGAGCTGCAATTCTAATCACATTCTTCTACATCCTGCAATAATTGCCTATAATAAAAAGATGCCCTTGAAACATGTTTTACGCTATGTGAAGAATGTCCCAAGAATGGCAAAGAATTCAGTTGGTACAAAGTACAACTTCCCTTTTCATGGCAATTTTGTGAGAAATTTTGTTGTCACTCTACTTCCCCCCCCCCCCGACTTTTAAACCTTGAATACTACATAGAGAAAATTATGAGAAATGTAGTAAATAGCTTATTTTTAAATCAGTGCTGTTCTGGGGACATAGAGAGCAAGTGGTTATCTGATAGTGGTAGCTTTTGAATGACACCTAGCAGGCCAGGCACAAGATTTTAACCTATAAAACCCAGGCATTTCCAGATTAGGTCAAGTCATTTTACTCTAGACAAGTGTCCAGATGCAGAAAACAAGGTGGAAGTTAATTTGCTCTTTTGTCTTTCAGTACAGCCTGAAGGCTAGAGCAGCTGGTAAAAAATGGGACCACCGTTTATTCCTCAATCCCAATAAGTAGGTGAAATGGGGACATCCCTGAAAGCTTTTCTGTGACCTGCAGATTTTGTCTTAAAAGTATTTCAAATGTTTGGGTAAAGGAAAGGGAGCAATAATCTATAAAAATGGCTAGGATCAGTCAATAATCTGCTCCAATTTTAACTGGAATTCTTTATTTCTTCAGCAGCTAGTGGCACTGGATACTCTGATTAATTGGTTACCTGAAGCATCATAAACATGTAGTTGAAAGACAGGGTGGAAGGTCTGCTTTTGCAATGGTTAAAATCACAAGCCATGCACTTGGCACAACTGTGAGTGATGAAATGTAATAGTATCTGCTTAGGAGTTACAGTTACCCATGATCTGACCATTCTATTGCAGATCTGCTTCTAATAGTTGAGATCTGGCGTGTATAGGGATTTTTCAGGCATGTATAAGAACGCACATCTGGCATGTATAAGGACTTTTTGAGGTTGGGCTAATAAGATGCAATTGGAGTGTAGCTCCACTCACAGACATGAACAAATTTGAAGTAATAAGGGCCCTACAGAATGAAATTCAAGGTTTATCTAGAAGAGCCATTCTCAAAGTATGGTCTTCTCTTCCAAGGGGATGACCGGGTAGTTTATAAATAAGTATTTTAACATTTCTCAGTTTTAATTTCTAATATACTACACATAAACAATGATATAACCCACACAAATGAAAGCTTTTTGGGGTCCTCAATCACTTCTAAAAATGTAAAGAGGTCCCCAGGCTAAAATCTTTGAGAACTGATCTAGTTCAACATGCAGAGACCCCAGCGGGAAAGCTGACTCATATTGCTGTTTCCGAAGCAAAGCCATCCTTCCTCTGAGCTATTGGCAACCACCCAGGCATGACTCTCCAGGAAGAGAGGATTTCCTTTAGGCTAGAGAAAAAGCGGGAGGACCGAGCCACGCAGAAGCCAAAGGAGATCCACAACTGGGCACAGGCTGAACAGGCGGGAGCCACGCTGCCTCTACCTCTTTTTGCAGGCTCTCGAGATCTGCCTGGGTCCGGCTCACCGCCACCACCTGAGCCCCCGCGTGGCTCAGCCGTACCGCCACAGCCCTGCCGATCCCTGCGAAGGGGAGCACAACGTTGTTGCACGGCACTAATACGGCGGGGCTCGTCCCCGAAGCGCCAGTGTTGCTCCAGCGGCGCGGCCCCGTGGACGGTACCTTTGCCTGCACCCGTCACCAGGGCGCGGCGGCCTGAGAAGCGCTCCATCCTCCGCGGCAGCTGAACCTCCAACCGGTGCTGGAGGCGGCGCTCGAAGGGGCTTGCACAAGGGGGAAGGCGAGGCAAGGCGAGGCCCTCCCTCCGCCGCTGCTGATTTAGCCCCTCTCTTAAACCCTCCCCGTTCCCGGGTGTCGTGTTTGCAGTCCCGTCTGAAGACTCGCCCCCTGTCCCCGTTACGGATCAATCGGTAGCGCCCAAGCCCGGTTTCTGGTGTCCCTTTGGGGTACCGGGTGTAAACCGCACCCGGGCGACCGTTCCTTTGTCTGAAGGGGAAGTTCCTGGTTCCTTGCGTCGCCATGTTTTTCTCCTGTGGACGGTGGAGGAATCAGATTCGTGTATTTGTGGTGTGGCTTCCTACGACAAAATCGGAGCCATGCAAGGGTTCTCGTATTTTATGTTATCGGCGCACAACAATGGGGTAGATTCAGTGATAGACTTGCCATATTAATGGCTTATTTTTATATCACACTTCTATTTCTTCTTGGTATAGATACCCAGTGTTTCTTCATCTCATTCTCAAATGCAAAATTCTGTGTTTTTGATGAATGCTGCTATATTTGCAAGAAGGATTCTGTACAATAGTAGTGACTCAGAAATATCTTTTATTAAGTGACTGTCAGTCATGGAACCAGTGGAAATCCCTCAAAAAAACCTCATGTTCCATCCTTTTACAAATATGTTAGCTAATATTCATTTTCTCAAAGAACCCATCTACTGGGTGTTGGGTATATCACATCAGGAAGTCTAGATGCAATATAATATGTAAGATTCATATGATGGTCCAGCCAGCAGAAATATCTGTTTCAATACCTTGAAACAATTAGTGGTTAGAAAATATTGAAGACCAATCAGTTGGGATTTGACTGTAACAGTGGAGAATTTCAAAAAAGGTAAGAATAAAAGCCAATTTTAAAGGGCCATGAAGGCAAGAGGTTCTGTTAATGTATAGAACAGAGAAGTTGCTAGGGATTGGCTTGTCTCATATTCACTGTAAGAGATGACATTGCTAACACTTCTACTGTGGTTCCACAGGAATACAATTAGTAAAGCAGAATTAACAAAAATACTTTCTTGATTATACTACCTTCCCAAATAAGAACATTTGTCTTAACAACAAAAAAGCTATGCTTTGCTCCAAACAATTATAATTATAAATGACTACTTATCAGCCATATTACTACAGTGCCAGACTGCAGCTTTACATTGAAATTGTACTAATACAATGCAGGAAGGGTTATGGCTCGGCAAAGATATATTTAAGACTCCAATAGAATCATTGCAGATATTATTTATAATGTGCCCCAGACCAAAGTTCTCAAGTATTATTTTGAAGAATGGCTGGTTTATTTGGGATTTTCTTTGTCTTTTGTCTTCCTCCGAAATACAGCTCTGGCTATTCATTTAAAGAAAACTATGTAAGAGATTCACAGGAAAGGGAAGATATCATTTCACTATTACAGTAGGGCACCACAGAGTTTCCGGGTAGAGGAGGCAGTGGACAGATTTGAACCTGCAAAGAGTAAGGTAAGAAGTTAGGGTCTAATCCTGCAAATATATTATCCATCTATTTTCAGTTTTCATGTTTGAATTTCTTAATCAAACAAGTAGGATAGGGGATTTAATGTACACACAGGGGATTTAAGACATTTAGAACATAATGTACACACCGAGTTGGATCTTGTTGTATACTGAATACTTCACCCACACTGACAACATTGCGTTTATTCTCAGGGCCACCATAACTCAAGGTAACCTAGAAAAAACACACGCAGCCCACATATTCAAAATTGCACTTGTTAGAAGTTAATTAATTTTTAAAAAAATATTTGGAACACATTCAAGTCCTAAAATTGGTTTCTCCAATTAGTAGAATTAGTTACCAGGGATTGGAAATATATTACAGTCTCTCTAGGATTAGAGCCAATTGAAACATCTTAGTTGGGGGAGGGAAAATGAACAAAATTCCACAACTGCTGCTATCAGGTTAAACAATCCTTAAACTGTTATAAGAAAAAAAATATTTTTAATCTCCTTATCATAGCCATCTTTTTACTTAGGAGAAGAAATCAAATATTTGCTTTTTTATCTGGATGTGAAAGTAAGGCCAACATAATCAGGAACAGTTTTTTAAATTCAAATAATTCTTGTTTAGTGAACATTTGGTACTGGCAACTTGATTATTAAGTGGCTAATAAGTAAAATTGCTACCATGCTTATGTCCCTTTCCTTTCCTTTCCTTTCCTGCCCTTGCCCTTCCCCTTGCCAGTACAGACCTGTGAAGGTAATAAATTTGAGGATTGGTTGCAAAAATATTTTTTCATCACTGCTGTAACTTGAACAGTTGCTAAATGAGGCAGTCACTAAACAAGGACTACAGGGTATTCATAAAGCTGACAAAAGTTCCCTGGAATCCCAGAAGTATAGTGTTTATCTACTTCCTGCATTTTTCTTTTGCTTTATATAGTGCTACATCCTATTTACTCTTTCCCCCTTCATGGATCATTCCCTTGTCATGTACTCTTTCGCTTCCCTATTTTCCACACATAGTATACAAATAAGTACAAATTGAACACTGACATTTAACTTCATTTCCAATTGTTTTATGCATAACTTCAGAACCTAGCCTTTGCCTCAACAATAACTTAAGAGCAAGAAACTTATTATTTATGTTTACTTAGAAAATGCCCATCGTTTTTTCTTGTTCTTCCCATCACCATGAGAGAAATTCACAAAAGGCTTTTGTATTTTGTTTGCACTACATCAATACTGTCACGATGACAAACTTGCAGCACATTCTCAGTTAGAAACTCCCACGAAACAGACACTTTTAAGGAGGGAAGAGGAGGTGGGGGGGGGGCAAGATGCATCTGCTTAGTAGTTTAGAGGAGAGTTGTCCTTACTTGTCTGAGTACAGCTCTACCACGCAGCTGCTGTAGGTTTTCCAGATGAGAGTGAAATAAAGGGCTGTGTAACAGTTTCACTTCCAAGAGCCCCTCAATGATGTAGCCAATGGTGCAATCATCAGGGAGGCGAATTCTCTCTGCAGTGCTGATGAAGCTCCCAAGGCTACCAAAATAAAAAAAGTCAAGGAATGAATCTCTCCTCAGTTCTCTTTGGGCCACAGGGGGGGGAGCAGGCGTTCCAAGGGCACGTACCTCGCCCATGGGCTCATCTTGAGGGCCAGGCCTCTGCTGATGCAAAACCCAGCACCACCTGTGGCAAACCAGAATTTTGTAGTGGTCTAGCAAAATAAACAGAGACTTGTTAGAACGACTTTGAGCATTCCTTTTGTGATCAACTAGACATTGGCAATTCCATTAGACCAGGGGTAGGCAACCTTGGCTCTTTTATGACTTGTGGACTTCAACTCCCAGAATTCCTGAGCCAGCCATGCTGAGGGGAAAGGGAGAGGTTCCCAAGCTGAGCCATGCTGGCTCAGGAATTCTGGGAGTTGAAGTCCACGAGTCATAAAAGAGCCAAGGTTGACTACCCCTGGTAGAAAGCTATAGAAAATTGTTGGAGCTTCAGGAAACCAATCTTAAACCAAACTTGAATGTGAAGAAACACACCAGCTGTGGACTTTCTTTGTGTGTAACTAATTCTTCATATCGCTTCAATGAAATTGGTTCAATCAGATTTCATGGAAGCAAACATGTATAGGATTTTAATCATAATGCTATTTTTCTATGGCTGTAGAACAGAATAATCACTACAATTAATTACAGAGAAGCAGGCAATTGTAAGTAGAGGAATGAAATCACAACTGTAGCTATAAATTCAAAGTTGAATTTTGTAATTTGTTTTAAAATGTGAAAATCTGCACCTTTATTTCACATTAGATCTTTTAATTTCAAAAATAATTTTTTCTTGTGTTCTGTGTTCTGAAGTGTTGGGTATTTACAAATATATGTTGCCTATAAGTTGCATAATTGCCTAATTACTGAAAGATCTAATTATTTCCATACTGTGCTCTTTACTGTAGGATACAAACAGAAAAGATTAGAGTTGCCCAAACATGACAGCATCATCTGAATTTTCCCTGTAACAGCAAAATATGATATATGTTAATTTTCTATGCAACAAAGTGAGCTGTGTTTTTCTAAGGCAAATTTGTAGAGAAAGTTTTCAATTTTATTAGCCTGCTATGACTGACAGTGGAGGATGGAAAAGATGGCATTTAATGTAAGCCAAAAAAACTGAACTGACTGCCTCTAGTGATTTTCTGGTGTTTCTGCTGGATATAATTCTTCTTCCATCAGTTTACTCATTTTGGCCTACAAGACATACAGGTAGTCTTCACCTAATAAACCTAAATTGGACAGGCAGCTCCCTCTAAGTGGAAAATCACATGACCATGATTTTGCTTTCTGGCTGGAGGCAAGACTAGTCAGTTTCTCACCTTGGCCTTTTGTTTGCCTCCAAATCATTCCCCCAGTGCCTATCTCTATTTTGTACAAATCAAAAGCAATGTGATCACACTGGCAGTCTGGGGCTGGAAGCCTCAGGTGCACTATGGAAAGAGCTTACAGTACTCTCTTGAAACCTCTTCCTCTCCAATCTCTCTGCTCTGGGGGAGGGGAAGGGGGGGAGAAAAAAGCAAGCAATTTTTGTAAGCAATCTCTTCTTTGCCTGAACCTTTCCCACTGCCAGTGCAATTCCATTGCTTTCAGTGTGCAGTAGAGCAAACTACTTGCTCTCTTAAAATCCCTCTCCAATCTGGCGAGGGGGTGCAAAGAAGAAAAAAGGAAGCGATTTCTGCAGACAATCTCTCCTCTGTCACTGCCTTCCCTCCTGTCTTGGAGAGTGGAGAAGGGATTTAGAGTACTGTAAGCTCTTTGTGTAGCATGTCTGCACTTGTCATCCCTGGGTTGCTGCACAATTCCATTGCTTTCTATATGTAGAAGAGCAAACAGGTTTCTCTCTTGCAATCTTGTTTCTTTCCAATCTCTCTGTACTGAAGGGTGGGAAAAATCACACATTGGGCACGATGAGTACTGATTATAATGG